TCATATTGCAGAAATAACACAAGGAATTAACCAAATTATGAAAAGAGAAGAGCAACATTTCCAATGTATTGAAAATACAACAGACCAGTAAACAAAGCTCATAAAACTGTATTTGATCCAAAACTGTATGTGAAGACACAGAAGCCAATATAACAGAGCTGAAACTTTAGTTTTCCCCGGTGTACTGAATGCTAATGCTGAGGTAGACTCTACCTTCAGTGGCAGTGATAATACGGTGAACATCCAAGTCTTCTAAGTCCATGAAGTCTTCAGTTGTTTCAACGACCATGATTGGCCATGGACGCGGGGCATGATGCTCCTCACATATGGGAGTGGGCTCTTCATCCTCCACACTGATAGCAATATCAAGCTCCGAACACAGGGGTGAAAAAATTACTCACTGGGAGGTCTGTGCTTCTGCTGTGGGACTCGGGTTCTCAATACCACCTTCCCTAGGGCTTGGAGCCTTTACGCCCAGATCGTCTTGCTGCAACGGGGAAGCGTTAGCAGAGGACTTCAACACCAAGTTGGGACTGTCACCAACAATATCAGATGGCATCTTGATGGGGAAGATAAGACTGATGTCACACCAGATGGAGGCTTTTATTTCACCAGAGGCAATGGCTGAAATGATCAGCATGCAGGCATGTATTTCAGATCAATTAGATAGAAGATGGCAATGACATTGAGAGTCGGATTAGCTTGTCATGGGGTGATATCTGCTTAAAAAAGACTTCAGGATTATGGTGGCCATTGATCGATAGTAATAAGGCGAGCCTGAGTCTGTATTGGCACAGACTCATTCTAGGCTCAAGCCCATATAGGAGCCAGCTAAAACTGGGCTTGAGTTACTTTAGCCAGATGAAGATGCCTGATTTGGGCAGGGTGTTTTCTTCACTTTTATTCTCACCTAGGACGCATGAAATCATGCCCTGTGGTGCATACTATAAGATTCCAATATGGATGAAGGCAACTACACATCGAAAATGCTGATTAATACCATAAAATGGAGAACTGAGGTTTGAGATGACAAGATCCAGCTATCTTCAATCCCCACAGTGCTCTTGTGACATCCACACTGAATGGACAAATTATTGTGTCAGACTAATGTCTCTCTTATAAACACTGAATGGTCTCTCTGCCCGATGCTTCCTTGTCAATGGTAGCGGCAAAGTCACTACTGACCGGTGTTGGAAGGAAGGAGATGCGGATAGTCACCGCATGAGACACATTGGGAGAATTCAGATGCTTCAAAGGCAGGGAAATCATCACACAACCTTAAAGAAATAAGTGGAATGGAGAGCATGCATCATAATTAGTGTAGTCCAATGTCTGAACTCGATTTTCTTTTTTGGTCTCAATGAAGGAATTTGAAAAATAGTCATTGAGCTGGATGGCCTGATTAGTCAGAAATGCCATCGAGCGACAGGGGTTCCAGGTACACAAATTCCCCCCATTCCGCATCCCTTTTTCCATATCACGTCTGCTACTGTGCGTCCTCATACCCCAAGGTCATACTGCACCAGATCCTGCCATTCGGCACTAGTGATCACTTGTTTTGATGATTATGGTTGTCCATGAACGCAGCACTTGTCTCATCGGTGGGAATACTTCATTCTCCACACTGAGGGAAATATCAAGGTCAGAACTGGTGTATAAAAATTACTGACTTGGAGTGAATGCTCTCTGCCGCATCTGCCGTCTGGAAAGGGTACATAGGATTGGAATTTCTGTTCCACAGGGATTGAAGCCTCTGCACCTGCCTTGTTTTCCTGCAATAGGGCAGCCCCAGCAAAGGATGTTGACCCAGGGTTAAGGCTGTCACCGATGATATCAGAGGGAGAGCTGATGTCACACCTGATGAGAGCTTTTATAAGGCTTGAAGTTCAGATAGGATCAGACACATGAGTGCGATGGGAATAAGGACATTTGGAAGCTTCTGATAAACTTGTCATCAGTACATATCCTTGAAAAAAGGACTTCAGGGTCTAATGTAACAATTGTTCCGGGAATATGCAATAGCGCATTTGAATATAGAGAGCAAAGTTTTCACGGTAGGCCACATCCAAAATCATAACCACTGATAACATATTTGGAAAGTATATATGGGAAAGTACATTTATACTGATCAGTCTGGAGATTGCATGACTTCAGCAACTCTTTCTTTCACCACCATCACTGCCCATTCATCTACAGTTGCATCTATATGATTCAGGTTAAATGATGAATGCTGTCTGGGAAACCACATACCAAGTGGACGGGCCCTTGGCCAGATGAAGAAAGTGGGCCTAAGATGGAATGGTCTATCGACACTCATATTTACAGTCTCCCAATGTTCCAGTACAAGCGAAAAAGAAGTCCAGTGTCCTCTCCACTGACTGTTTGAAGGCTTTCAAGTACACCTTCCACCAACCCTGTGCTTTCCTTGCAGATAGTATCAAAGACCATGCAAAATGAATGGCAGAAGTCTTTGCAAAATCAGCAATGCGAAGTGAGACCAGAGAATCCAAAGGTTTGGTGAATGCATCATGGGCAAGTGGTGTGTCGGGAAAGAGAATCAGAGAGTACTGCTCCTGAAGACGATATATTATGTTAAAATATGCCTGTCTCCCCTCGCTGAGTGGCCAATATGCATCTGGTTTATGAGCATCGAAAATAGCGACAATGTCTAAGGCAGGAAGGGAGAGGAGCAAGTTGCCAAGTGCAACTATGTTGAGAAGCCCTTCAGCTGTATTGACCTTGAATTTGGACAAATCATTTTCTATGCCTGAAACCATCCTGATAAGGCATTGGAGAAAACAATTAGTTGATTGGCTTACTATCAGTGTTCAGCCCATCTTCAAGGTACAAAATCAGTCGAAAGAGGAGATCCCTCAGTTGGAAGTACAGAACTCTCTCGATTTTGACCCCATGTATATAAGTATCAACCTGACCCGAAACAGTTTTTGACAAAGTTGTAGTAGTGTAAAAATGTTGTCCTCTGACAATGGAATTTTCGAGTGTCACTACTGCGTGAAGAGTGCCTGGTTGAATGAAACTATTCTTATTATCAGCGGTAATCACATCATATCAATGAAAGGACGTACAGGACATTACCGGGCTCGAGGACAACAACTTCTGCTTTCCATTGCTTTGGGTCATTAACAAAGTCAGAATCCCAGTCATGGTATGCATGTATCAACTTGTCATGCTTTTTAACATGACGCTGAAAGAGGTACCAAAGCTGGTGGCCACAATGAACTTGGATAACTGTACAAACCCCAAGACAATAGGGCTTGATGTGGTCAATAGTACTTTTTGTTGCCACATACCAGAAGTGGGTGGCAGATGCAGGATACCCCTCCATCCGAAAGATGCGCTCTGTGTTAACAGACGTCTGTTTGAAAACTCCCATGTCGCTGGAAAAAATTCTATGAATAAGTCAGTTTTGAAACAAGAGTTCATTTTCACTCCTTACAGTTGTAAGGGATGCAAATCCTGGGTGCGGCAGGGCAGATGAAGTGCACTCAAATAAGACCTTCGTTTTCCTGGCTTTCTTCATGCAGTTCACATAAAGACAGACACATGTCATGGCCCTGTCCTTGGTGGTCTGTATACTGTGTTAATATATTGTCATGTTGCAAACAAAAAACACAAACCTTGAAAATCTCAATTTGCATCAGGATTTCTGATCTTAGAAAGTGATGACAGCGTCCAAGTGATCTGAGATGTCTTTGCACCAACCACTAGTATGTTGTGGTCACGAAAACATTCAAGAGTGTGAACAGGATTGTTGATGGCCAAATCGAAATCCAGGCGATATACCAGCGCTGACTCTACAGCAGGTGCTACAGAAAGTGAAACTGAGGCATTAATACAGCACTTATGCCATCCATCCAGCAACGCTCAATCTTGAACCTCCTAAAAACATCATTTATAGGATTTCGAAAAAGGGATGGGTGACATATGTTACTAAGCAATGGCAAATGATAGAATGTATGGTATCTTTCACCCACTAAAATGGGGGGAGACTCAACCATTGTTCCAGAATGAGCTAGGTTGCGATCTTGTTTTAGTTGCTTTTGGCTAGCTGATACAGATGTAGATCGTTGCCTCTTTCAGTGATACAAGAAGGGATACTTGTTTGCTCGAACAAACAAAGAACCGTCTTCACTGATTTGACCAAGCTCAATGGTGGGGAGGTCGTTAATGTTCAAGCCAGTGGATGGTGGATGGGGCTAGAGCGCCGGAAAGTGTCTGTGGCCCCATTGTTCCACTTGCAATGTCAAGAGGCGGTGAACCTTGGGAATCGAACCAAGTGTAAAAGCTGGGAGGTGGCAGGCATTAAGAAGTAATTGAGGAGGGGCACTGCAAGACCTTGGTTTCCGTTTTACTCAGTGTTTCTGTGCCGGCGATGATGAACATCCTCTGCATTGTTCTGCCTGGGGTCCCACCTTGCGAGCTCCCTCAAAGTTTCGACTATTATTAAGCCAAGCAACATTTGCCAATCCTACATGAACCTCCAGGCCAAGGATTTGGTTACACTGAACAAGGGCAGCAAATGCATCAGAAAACCAGGTATCCGCTCCCTCAGAGTCACCTCAGATCAATGGTGCAGCCTCAGTCAAGAAGTTTGTCAATCCAGTGTCACTTGTCCAACAGCCCCATGCGACACTGATAATACAATGCCAGAGCATTTCCTCAATACGTTGGAGGAGTTCTGGTTTTCCGTAAGATGCAAGTCATCCTCCAACCTGCAAGCAAACATCCGTGATACCTTTACGAGATGGTAAAAAAAAACTCCTACCTGTAAAGTAAGCGAGATGGAGATATGTTCCCTGGAACCTGGGTACAGAATGAGCAGGAGTGGTGATATCGCAATGGCATCAATGAAAGCTTTCTTCCAATGTTGCACATTTTGTTCAAAAGTCTCCTCAAAGATCATTGTAGTTCTGAGGTGGTCCAAGTGTTCAAACCTTACAGTTAGAGTGAGTACCATGAATACTAAGGGAATCTTACCTTTACAAATGAAAGTTTTCACCATGCTAAAGAAACAATCAGAAGTTGATTTAAACAGTGTTGGATCCCCTTACAAGGCAAAGCACCGAGCGAATATGAAAAGCGATGCCATCCAAAATACAAAGGGCATTGGTGTAGGTTTTGATGGACTCATCCTTCTGGTTGTTCACCAGGAGGCAAATATCGTGATAGACATTCTCTTGTTGGTTAGTTGCCCATGGACTTGGCATTGATCTGTTCCTATATGCACCAAGTGATGTGTAAAATTCATTCAACTTCATGGTCCATTGCTCCAGTGGCTCCCGAATCTACCAGACAGGATTAGGAAGGCTCTCACATTCAAGAAATGACTAACTCACGAAAGCTGGGATAGTATGAACGAGTTGGGATACGTGAAAAGATGCAGGCCATGTCCACCACCTTCACAAGGATAATGGTGTCAAGAATTGCACCAAATTGGTCTTCTGTGGTGCTGATTTCATCGATACAGGCCTTTTCAGGTTCGCACCAATATTGGTCAGCAAACTGCTTCAGTGATCGTCCCAATTAATAGACTTTTCAGTGCAAATATGACATTAACTGCGTCCTCAAGCTCTAAGGTCAGAGAAGCATCATACCTAAATTGATGAGTGAGGAGCCAGATGATGGACCAAGATAGGATTGAGATAGGATCTCATTTACTCCCTTGACTTCAGCTATTCATGAACCCAGATCAGAATTTTAATAAATTATTTAAGTATCTATATATATTGATTTATTTGGAGTCTATAGCTGCTTATGGCAAATAACAAGTCTGATTAATAAAAATCACAAGACCTTATCCATATACAGCAATGGCAAGGTGCCAGGAGTGCTCAGGCACAATCTCATTTGAAATGAGCGTACCAGTCTTGTATTCCATATCATAGAGATTGTTCATATGCCTCAGTGTGCCAGGCGAGTCTCTAGCCCTCCTAAGGACGTTGGTAGGATCATAGTTCTCAGGATATCCATACTGCATTGCCAATTGCCTCTCGATCTTCTCTAATTCACGAATCTTGTCTGCATTATCATTCCCCTACTCAGGGACAAATTAGAATGAAGGTGAAGTTTGTAATGAAATAGAATACCCCATCTATACTCTCAGACCCTGTGAAAGTCTGTGGAGTCATTGGGGGTGATTCATTTGAAGGCGTGCTTGCGTATGAATGATCATGGCGCTGGAAAGAATTTGGTAAGTATACTGCAGTCCTGACAGCCACTGAGCCCAGTTTAACATGCATTGCAGGAAGCTTGACTGGGGAGGCTCTCAAGACCGGACTTGCATAGGTTTCTGGTTGGGATGATACTGGTGGAACATATTTCTTCTCCTAAGGTTTGTGTCGTCACTCGGTCATGGGCCTTGGTTCTTCTTTTCTTGTCCATTCAGCCCTCGTATTAAATATATGTGTCAGCTTGAGTCAGGTACTGAGTGGAATGCACAAGATATGGTGGTGTCCGGCAATGATGGGGCCAGTCAATAGCACTCCTATTCAGGCACTAATGGAGGGTCGAGAAGGGAATTGATGTGCTAGCAGCCGAATCTTTGAGAATTTATTTCAATCCCTATCGATCACCTGACTGGCCCTCAGTGACAATGAGTCCAGGCCATGGCAATGCTATGAGGCTATGAAAGGTCTGAGATCTGACCGTTATCAGCTTGGATAGAAAACAGACATCAGCTTCACCCATTGGAAAAAAAAGGCATGTCGCTGTGACAAGTTGAGTCTGGGTATCCAACGCAATCCGATCACTTTTCTTTTACTTGAGGATATCATGGAAAGTCAGTTTATGTCTCAGCTTTATCATAAATGGTGTTGTCTGCTTGATTTTTCTGTTTTCCCCTTCTTACCCATCTTACCCATCCTTCCTGTTATCCCACAGCCTCCACAGCCCTTTCCCCCAGCAAGAACCTCAGTGATCACCTGGTATGACATTTTATGTTCCTTCCTTGTTGGAAACTGAGCTAGACTCCTATTTAGTTCCACACAAAGAGGCCGACTTGGAGCATGCACAGCAACGAATCATGAATGGGATCATTCAATGGAAAGTATATTTTCATCACATTCAATGACTTCTCCTCTTCGCAAGTGGATTGGATCAGCGACCAAGAGTGAGGGAATGAGCCATAGTAAAGATGTCAGTCATCGTCATCGTAGTAGAAAAGGAAGCTGATATAATCTGGCATCCCCTTGAAGCTGTATCCGGAACTGTATTATGACCGGAGTAACTGAGATGGGTGCCAGTGCTGTTGTTCTTGTTCCTGCCACCAGGATTCGGAATGGCCGGGCCCACAGCCTTGTCATGGAAAAACATGCACTATGGCCATGAAGGCTCATTTGTTTATGATCACGCAGCTGCATGTGTCAGGCGGAGGAGAGGCTCTTGGTGCACAGTAACATTGGAGACTGCATAAGCAGGAGAACAACCTCTATGGGAGGATCCATGAATTTTTGTGCCACACAAATCTTGGGTGCTCTTTGGGCTATGCTGACCGGATGAATACCCCCATCTAACCAAATAGTTCTTATATCCTGGTCCATTGAATTTGGCACTAACCGTCTGGCAATGTGAGCTATTGATAATACAGATAAATTAGTAAGGACTTTCGAAAGTAACAACATTATCACTTCTATGCTTTGCGAATTACAATGTCTTGTTAAGCTAGACGGTTACATCTCCCGCTCGACGATACTCTCTATAAAGTTGAAAACCATGACAGTCATAAAAGCCACCCCATGTGAATCTGCCTTTTTCATCAGAACTAAATCCCAACCACTCTTCAGACCCACCGTATAGGATCACCCTAGTCATCTGTCCTCAAGTCAAGCCAAATGACCACTTCAGAGCTAATATTAGGCAGGCCATGATAGAGATAACACTGACGCTCATCGGAGATATCAATGTCGCAGCAGCAACTTTGTTTATAGTGTCAGACTTTGTCGTTAGAAGGGAACATTTGCAAGAAGATGATGCACGGCACCATTACTGGTACCATCAGGATGAAATACACCTTGAGATTGTTCTGTACATCACTGCCTTGAGTAGGGGAGACTTAGTCATGGCCAAATATTCATACACAATTGAGATATACTGAAAACCAAAGATATTTGAGCGCTGAGCAGGCCAAGTGGGAGAAATACTTACCAATATGTCCATGAGCTCTCCAAGAATGAATTCATCACACATTGTCCATCATTCCCTTATAAAGTGACAGACTTATTTGAGAGCTAGAGGATTAGACATGGCACAGAGGCGGAGTTCCATCTAGAACAGGTCGAAGTGTCGAGTTCACTCCTTTGCAGGGCTGATTGATACATTTCTGAGTGCTTGAGCAGCGAAAGAAACACGTTGATCACAAAGGTCACGACCAGCATTGGTGATTCATTTTCGGTAAAATCTTTCTAAAACGAGTCTTAGGATTCGCTATGGATGCAAGTGTAGGCATGGTATGCACCAGATGTGATCATCCGGAAAATCGCATCCTGACTGAGGCATATCCTTCCAGAAGCAGAAAAGAGCATCATGGCCTGAATATATGCACATCTAGGGCATGCCCCGTTCATCATTGAGGGAGACAACAAAGAAAAGAAGGATGAGCACCCTATTCGAATGAAAGTCGATTACTTTTGGAGGCGGCACAGAGGAATTGGACCATTGTGGATGAGATATGAATGGATAATACCCATATTGATTCATATGAGTAAATTTGCACTGGAGGGGCAATACTACAGCATTGTCGCACCTCCACAGGTCCTAAAGCAGCTCGCATCCTACCCTAGTTCCAGTCTGCACTGCAAACCTCATAGAGAGAATAGCCTTGTATCCTTGGACTGTGCTTTACGTATACTTGAGAAGAAATGATACCACAGTGTTTTCAACTACAATAATTCGGAGTCAGCAACATCGCCAATCATCTCCAGGAAAGAAATACTTGTCCCACACAGCATCCTCCACCGTGACAGTGACAATGGGCAAGCAATGGAAGTTCTTCTGTTCTCTGAAGAAAAAAAATAGAACACCGCTTCCACAATTGTCTCATCACATGGCGATGATGCTTTGAAGGCTGTAGCACATGCATGGTGGTTTCATCGAACAGGGGACCTATCGGAGTCTGAATCGTATCGATTCCCGGTCTGCCCAATGCCGGTATCTACCAAGGCCAGCCACTCACTTCTGATCATCACCATCAAATCCCATCGTTCTCTTGTTCTCCCGCCTCTTCAGCAACAGCGATAATAATATTCGGGAATGGCCTCAGGATAATCAGAAATCAATGGTGTATCGTTCTTTGTGCCATTCGCATCCTACAGAAAGACTAACATTTCGATGATTTCAACAGATATTTAGTTCATTCGAGACACCCATGCAAATCTACGTATGCATATCAAACGGTGATTTCAGCATCAGCAGGAATTTAAAATGCCTTAACTCCTCAGTACTGGATACAGGCATCTTAGAGCAATCAATTCTATGCCACCATACTGGAGCGCCATGTTACATGTCTCGCCCTCCTTTGATTTTCGATCTGGCGAGCCTATTGAAGAAGCAAGGTAATGTTGCCTGGATTAACGTAGCTGTGTTTGCAACCTCGCTGGATGATACCATGCACCCTCAGCATACCGTGATGACATGATGTTACGTATACTTCAAGCAAGGATGTCCCAACTCATTGGGTGCCTCTTGGTAGTGGGTCTATGGTAAGTGCTCCTGACTTTTCAGTTTATCTTTTGATGTGACATAGACCTTTCATCATGATTTGGCATTCAGGTCTCCTTGCTTCATGGGTAGCTGTCATGGCATGCCCTTTCCCCTTGCCGAGGTTTGATCAATTCATTTGGCACTTGTGGCATACTTGCGGTAGGCGCTTTTACACACTTGCCTTGTCTTCTGATCTGATCTTGTTTTTGAATACACTTTGGTATTGTGTGTTCCGTTTTTGCCAGACATAGAGAACTGGGGACAATGGTATTCCATGCTATCCATGTTGATGACAGCAGGAATTCTCGAATGCCATATTCCTGTTGCAAAATTGGATACAATGACCGAGAGCTTAATTTGAGGGTACTTCTCCATTACATTGAAATCTCGTACGGGGCAATTTTCTGATGATCTATTAGGCAGATAACTGTAGCTCAAGGATTGAAACGAGAATGATAAGAAAATACTTACAAGGGATTATATTATACCTAGGGCAAGCGAATGCATTCAGGCATTGCCTTGACAGATAAGCAGTGTTGGACTTTTATTGGACAGCTTCAGACAGCTCCAGCTGTTTTGAATACTTTGCTAGGCATCGAGTCATTGACGTATTCCGGCTTGACCACAAGCTACTTTGCATGTTTAGGAGAGGAATAAGGAAATGGTCTCCGAGGATTGTTTGAACGGTATGCGAGGTCTTCAAATGTTGATAGTTGAACAGATACTGAATTAAGGTAAGGATCCAGAAGTAGAGAATGAAATTCTATCTCCACGATGGAACGCATTGAGGACAGTGGAAATGGCCATTGCTACTACAACAGTGATCCAATTCAGCCTGTTCGAGCTCTTGGGTGACACCGCTGTCTCTGTATAGCAGACACACTGAACAGGATGCACCGGAGGTACGAAAGAGCTCCTTCGTATTTTGAGCATGCTTCAGTTCGGCATGTCGTTCATATCTTCCTATATTCTATAAAATTGGATGGGAATATGACATAGAGGCCTTCAAGACTTGGCTTGTTCTGTATGACCAAACTTGTTCTTCACCTCTGCCACGCACGTTCCTGCACTGAAGGAAGCACATGAATTATACTCGATGGTCTCACATGTATTGGCCAACCTCCATCAACATGATGTCTCTGTTATTGCATCTCCGAGTACTTATATCTCTCTGCTGATGGGTTTACCCAGTAGTGAAGATGGCTGCAAAGAGCAAGGGATTGTCATACACGGAACTGTTATTAAGAAATGAGACAATTATACTATCAATGTGGATCCTTTGGTGATGCTGGCATCATATTCTGGATATTATACCATCTGATCTTCCTTTAGGCACTCGAGAGCATTCGCGTTTATCCATTGGATGGCCGAATCGAAAGAGCCGAGCTGTAAAATAGTGCGAGAAATATCTAGAATACGGTGAGTATTGCTTCAATTTCACTGATGCTCCATGATATGACCAAATTTATTCAGTAGCATATGGGCACCTACTTTGTTAAGGATGACTATTGATGTCTGACCCACTCTCTCGACTTTGCGCCACGTCTGTGCTTTCTGATGCCGCACCATTCCTTTCTATTTCTGGTGGATATAAAATCCAGGCTTTCTCTCATAAATGATAATGGCACAAAATAGAGACGCATTCTCTCACTGAGAGCAATATGCACTGTATCAATCGCTATCAGCACCAACTTTGAATTCGCCCTTCCTTCGGAGGATACTCACCACCACTGAGCTTCAATCTCAGTATCAGCACTGGATCCTGTGTAATACAGCAAGCAACTGTTGTTACCGACAAAGATACAGTTCAGAAGCTGACCTACACCAAACTGAGGAAACAGCCTACTCAAGCTCTCGATCTGGACCTTGAAATTCATATTAGCTGTATTTCTCTCAGTTAATTCCTGTCACCTGCGAGTTGACCTGCTGCTATAATCTAGCCTTCGAAGCCCTCGAGTCACAATACAGTAGGCATGCTAGCATTAGGCATGCCTAGGGGTTGATAGGTGGTCATTTTCGGCAACCAGACCGGAAGCCGGTTTTTTTCTCAACTCCGGCACAGCCTTGCTGCCCTCGTCATCAACTATCATATCCTCCATCCCACCCGGTCACTGCGATAGCATGGGGCAGGACACAAGAATATCGCTACCTATGATATAGTTTCATGACATGACAGTGGCTGTGGTAGAGGAGATGATGATAACATCTGCAAACGAGAATTGAAGTATGTTTTCAGCCACCTGTTGAAATAGGGTATGCGTCTTCTCGTTCTACCAGTTTGTTGCTTATCATGAAGTAGGTCACCATTCGCATGTGTATATTCAGGCAACGATGGTATAAATGGTGCCAACAGGATACTGCAGGAGTATGGCATGATGTTCTTGGCCGGTACGCATGTGCTCCCATTTATTTGCACCTGACAACTCATTCATACGTCAAGTCTCTTTGCCGAGTAATACTTCTTTACTGGAACTTGTATGCGAACCTGCAGAATACATTGCTGAAATTGGTTCTGACTGCCCAACGAATGAGGCGCTGAACTCTGTATTTTGCGACGCTTGCAGTAGCAAGGAGGGTCCTTAAATATTCTACAGTTTTTATCCTTCCCATTCCGAATCATCATAGAGAACTCCACCAAATGTTACGTGACCAGGAAATAATCAAGAGCAGAAATGCATGTGCAGCACTGAAGGTTGGTGTCGTACATCACTTCTTGTTTGTGTTCGAATTATACAGAAATTCATGCCCGCCATCGCAGATACTCACTGCCTTCGGAGGGATGGTTACAGGCATGATAGTTGACATTAGAGGTCTTAAGATGCATACTAAAGAGTAAGTGCTCTGCTGCTCAGTTCTTGCAGACAGTCTTAACTCTGACACCATTAGAATGGAGTATGGTATGGCCAACAACCCAAATCATCATGGCAAGTATCTGAAGAACGCGAAGGTGACGGATCACTGGCATGATTATGGATTATCTTCGCAGAAATTATGTGTGTCTCCCATCTGCAGTCTGTTTTGACCTGTGTAATTAAGCACATATAATTAGGTTTTCCGAGATTATGGAGGGGAGAAAAGGCATCATGGGCCTAAATACAAGCATTGATATAGAAGAAAGACACCATGGAAATCAAAGGTAGGGGGATATCCGTGTCGTCAGTATGTGGTGAAATGGTACGTGCATCTGTGACCCGTCTGCACTCACCTACTGAGATTCATATGTCCAGCTTCACAGAGTGTACTCCTTCTCGGATAGCACCAGCACGACCAGTAAATGATGCTGATTCGATGTAAGTCCGATGTATTCATTTTTCCTGCTTACGGTTTAATGTAGGCTGATTAGGCTGAACCGCCCAATGGCTTGTTGGTGGACGGTTATCGCGTTCTTCTGAAATCTTGAAGCCCACCATCATTATGAATGACAACATGAACACAATAGGCTGAGCGATTACGATGTAGTGGTCTTCCCAAAAGACATTTGACGAGGCTGGTGCTGATGATATTGGATCGTTCGCCCCTTGAATCACCTTTGCTGATCATGCGTTCGTATGAATACCTCCTTTATTTGGAGACTTTGGAGATCATATGCGGTTTCGTCCTCGATACCCTTGTCTTGACTGAAGACTACAATAAAGGGTATGAAAAGAAGTCGCCTTCAATATCGACCTTTCTTCAAGGTATGTCTCAGTTCTTTGCATCTTTTAAGCTCGTCTTTATCAGTCTTGGTTAGGCCGTATGTCATTACCAGAAACTCCTCGTAAATGGACCCACTGGCGGTATATTTCACATACTACCACACCCCATACCGACCAATAGCACCCCAGTCCCTACAGCCATGTCCGATTCTCGTTTTTTGCCTGTTCTAATGGCAGCACCTCCTTACATCCTTGTTTCTTCAGCGCGTTGAGCATGCAACAATATGTCACCGAGGACTGCCATGCCTGAAAAACATGTATGTTGATCTTAGTGATTCAGAAACTACTTCCCATGATGGATTGTCCATTTTAACACGTGAAGACAACACAACGACATTCTGCCTCCAAAGAAATGGCATCATTATCTATTTCGCCGGACAATGAGCTGGATATTCACCATTTTCCTCGACCACAGACCAGGGTTCAGCTGCGATTTAACCAGGACTAAACACGGAGACAGTGGTGGAAAACCTCCGGACTCACCGAGCATAAGAAATGGGTCTGATTTCCCTCCAATGCTGATAGCTGGTAATAAATTGCATCCGGATCTGAAGTTGGCGGCCTTTTGAATATTGCATGTTCAGCGAGGAGTAATAATTCACATGAAGAACGAATACTAGTAACTATCTACAAATCATTTGAAGTCGTAACTGAGTTGCAACTAAAAGGGTTGAGGATCATTGTGATCATAACGACAGATGTAAAATCGGAGACACCTTTCAAAGGATTCTGACATAACATATTCCATTTGAGCATGGACATAAAAAGACTCCAGGACAACTCCACCAGCTTCGCGAGACTCTAAAAAGGGCATAATGCAATTCTCAAGCGACTCGTATTCTCCCGCACTGAGACTCGGAGAAGACACATCTATCTCGATATAGCGCAATTTAGGCAGAAAGAATGCAGTGTCGTTGATGGCATAAGGACGCGAAAGGATATCTCGAATAAGATCGACTGGGAATGAGAATATGGCAATCTCCTCAAGCGATGAAGAGCTGTCGCATTGGAGCAGGTGCAACGGATCGGAGATCATTTGGCCCATTGAGAGCTTGAGAGTCTTCAGAACGCAGTTGGATCGTTGCAACATAGGAACCACGTCATCATTCGCACTGGCTGTATGACTGTGATTACCCTTATATGATATGCTGAGATGGTTCAAGGAGGGCAAGAAAATGAATGCCAACATGCTATTAGAACCAAAGATCGTCTCTGGGTGTACGATAACGCAGGACATTCGGGTGATCTCAGTCAAAATGACAGCGTGCATATTTAGTGAAAAAAACTGTGATGTGAATTCCAACGATCGAGGAAGGACATTTGGCAGAGAATATGTGCTATGTTCATTGCATTTGAATGAGATATAACCCCTCGCAATGTTAAGGTAGTCAGCTGTTCCCATGGTAGCTGCAGGTCTTGCCAACTCGGATAAGTATCAAGATCATTAATGATGAGATTCCAAAGGCCGGCAGCTGAAAGAAGCGATATTGAATGCAGAGGAGATGTCATCAGCTCTTTGGCTACCTCTAGCATCTCGAGGGATGATATGGAGTTCTGAATGAAGGAAAATGGTTCTAGGGCAAGGTCTGAAAGACTTGATCAGCAGCTGTTTCCACCGATGGGAAGAGGCAACGAGTGGCCAGAGGTGTGAGCTTCCATCCTTCCCTACACTGATATTGCACATGAATGAAACGTCAAGTGGAAGACAAGCTGAGTGCTGTAACTGAAGATGGAGCCTCTTTAGTAAGTGCTCATGCAAAATAAAATCGCGCATAGACAAAGTCTTGGTTGGTCACCCATAGGCACGAATGTCATCAGGTACAATGTGCATGTCGAAGTGTACCCACGTCCACAACTGGGGAAAGGACAGTGCAGTCTCCCTGCACATCCTGCATACCCTAACAATGGTCCACGGGGGAGAATCTTTACGATGGAAGGACATGAGACTTGGCATCGACTCCGAGTCGGGGAGATAGTGCCGAAATATCTTGCGTAATACGTCTTCAGACAAATGACGGACAGGATTGAGGACCTCGCTTGCGTGCTCCATGATTGACACGAGCTGCCTGTGCTCCAGGACTAGGGCTGCTAGTTTCTCCTGAAGCTCAGGTATCAAAGAGTCGGCCAGCTCTGAGATCCTATTAGATTTCGTTCTTTGGACCTCTCTGAATATAGCTGCCTCCGATGCTGATGGGGGTTGATCAGTACGCAAAAGGACCATGATATCGGGATATATGGTAGGGTGGAGTGAGGAAGGTCCCTCGCATGTCATATAGCAGTTTGGACATGGGTGGGACATATTGTCAAAGAGTACGATATTATGTTTGCGAGGCGAAAGATCTGATATAGAAGCGCAGATCGGATGGCTTGCTCTGGTGCAACAGCGGTGGTTGATGGTGAGGAGAGTAGAATGGATGAAAGTCGATAAATAACAGCCAGCACGTTTGTGACAGGATGAAGGAAAGCCAGTCCGGTATCCAACTTTCCATCACTGACTATCCAGTAACGGATACATGAGGCAAACACATGATGATATTGATCCCATCACCCAAATAAGATACTAAATGTAGCCTGAAGCTGAAGGCCTGATGATCTGCAATATTTTCCGAAAAAGACTACGGTTATCTATTTAGAATCACATCCAAAGATTCATTCTCCACTGTGAAACCAGGTTAGGACGATTATGAGTCTAGTTTAGGCTGATAAGCAGCCTTCACTCTGCATATGGCTATTGTTAGGTTGTTTTGGAATCATCCTAGTGCCTTGGATGATTCCCGTGGGAGCCGGCAGGTTGGTGATCAACCTGTTCCTGGCTATCAACATTGGATGATGTCGCTCCAAGGACTGACCCGTTCCTAGGATGAAATACATCCTACGTATGGTGGGTTCTGGTTGATACATCAGCCAATTCTTTGCTTATTACTACTCCTAGACTAGGCTAATTATCATTTCTTTCTGGGTGCTGCGAACTTGACTGTCTTTCCTGAAATTCTTTCCAACCAGCCCATACAGCTTGATGCGCCTCCACTGCCCTGCTCCACTGCATCAAGTCAGCAGTATCCATCCAATCTGCGAGCTGCTCCAATTTCTCCACAGCCTCTCGTGCACTCTTCAATCCCATCCGAAGGTGCCTGGTGGAAACACTTGGGTCAAAACGCTGTTGGAGGCCTTCCAGCTCATAAAGCAGCAGATGAGAGCTCACAGTGAGATCCATGTCACATGCCATGAGCTCCAAAGGATCTAGCAAGGGACATATTGCTCCCTCAGGCTCGGAATCAGGAATGATCTCATTCTTGCATTCAGGCACTGTAGACAGCTCCGTATGAACCACTCTGTGCATTGCCTTTGATGCCTCGGGCGATGAAAGTACTATTGGTGAACTTGAACGTGTCACAGGAATTTTTTTGGTTCTGAAAACATGTCATTTATATGGTTGCGTATCAGAGTAATCTGCCTCTCACCTCTTCCTTCTGCTATACTTACTCCTGCGCTTGTCACCACTCTTCAAGTACTCCCCATTATGACCACCCTTCACAAATTTTGTGGGAGCCACATTTGGGTTGTAGCATCCAATGATAGGCTTGCCAGCCATGGTAGGTGATGAGTGTCAGTGTTGAAGGAGTGTCCCCACAGTTAAAACCCCGCATTGCAAATTGTCAGTAGGGTATGCAATCACTCCTATTCATCTCCTATAATATCACTATCATCTACATGAATGGCACAAGCCAGGGAACCACTATGGTCAATGAGCGCACAATGGTCCCCATCAAAGACTCTGCCAATAAGGCATTGCACACTAGTAATATCTATCACATCCAACTTTCCCTCATGTGATGAGAAATGGATATCCAACTTGAGTAGCTCGCGCAATGACTCATCTACAACTGTATTGCGGATGACTGCCAGAATAATGTGGGCATCAGCATCATTCTGTATGTGGAGATCTTGATGTGCTGATGCCCGAAAGTGAATGTAAATAATACGCTCGAGCCGGCCATAAAATGTCTTAAGCTCAAGCTCTTCAGCATGCCGGCGTTGGTTGGCGAACTTGTCCACATACATCTGGTACTGTTATGGTCTTGTTAGTGAAAGGAGCCACACATATACATCGAGAAATTACTTGCCCGGACAAATGTAGGATCACGGTGGTCTTCACCATGTTTATACATAGATGATGCATGCATTGTATCACCTTCTTCAGAGTCAATATGTCGAACAGTCCCCCACTCCTCAACAAATGCAGCCTTCAGGTGTTTGCGAATCACTTTGAGATCAACACGCATGAAACGTGTCTTCAAAGCTGGACTAACAGAAGTGGATAACAGCTTTTCATCAGGGCAAATTGGTGATCTCGGAGGAAGAAGCATGCAGGTGGGATCTATGGAAAGTCTCAGAGAAGGTTTAACATAACAAGAACCAGTGACTTACAAGATTCACTTTGAAATGATCCAAGAATCTTGCCTCTGTGAGATGGCCGAAGAGCCAATTCATCATGAAGCTTATAGAGGATTTGCAGTTGAGTGAGCTGCGCAGACTCTAAAATGAAGTGGTCAAGCGAGTGATATGGAAAACGATGGCTCTGAATGGAAGGTTGAAGTTTGCCACAATACCACTCCATTGGAAAAGCCCAATAACACCAGACTGGTCCCATCGTCTCAATGCTGTCGGCAATATGAAGGAGGGCATGGATAGTGACAGGACAAGTGGAGATGCGTGCTGGATCATATTGATAATACAGCCTATCAGATACATGTTCAGTCTGTGAATGACTACAGTCAAGAAACAGGGATAACGTACTGTTCGTAGTCTTTCACCCAACGGATAAACCCATCTCAAACTTGCTGAATTTCTGCCGTGCTGATTTCAAACTGCAGGCAGAGATTTAACAGCATGACAAGATGAACAAAATGCTTGAAGTATTTGGCATCCTTGAAGCATCGTTGGAGAAGAACCGGTCTGAGATACAGACTCCAAAATGACCACATCTCTGCTGACATGTTGGAGTGGTCTGTTGACATGTTGGGCACCCTGGGACCATATGCAGATGGAATGGTAGATCCTGATGCAGCTGTTGCCTTACCGATGGCTTCCCACACAGACTTATCGAGAACGTAACAACCCATTCCTTCGTCAAGCCCTTTGAACTCCCTGGTCCAAAGAAGAACCAGGTTTTTCATAAGGTTTTCCCAGATGAGATGCATGAAATCATAAGGAAATGAGATGGGAAACAGCAGAGAATCGAGAAAGGTGAGCAAGGGCAGGCTCTTGATACCATACTCCTTGGCCAAGTTTTCTGCTTCCGTATTCATGGATGCCAACTGAACTCGATCTGCCTGATCCATCAGCTCATCATGTGAGTGTAATGGCAAGTCTCCAAGGTCATAAACTTTAATGGCATCAGGCTTCTGTTGGACATCTGGGTGATGAGAGCGATCATGGGGAATGTAGTGAGTAGTCGCATTGGAATTAGGGATACACAGCCCAACAATTTTGCACATGCGACACAGAGAGATGCCATTGTGACCCTTCATATGCATAAGCATTGAAACAGCTGGGATATCACCAAATATGACAATAAGGAATGCCCGGAGGGAGAAAATGGCCTTCTCCATGTCAGGCTCCAAAACATCAAAGGCCCGGATGCCCTCCGAGAGCTTCAGTAGCTCCTGCACCAATGGCCAGAGAAAGGAATCAATGTCAGCAGGCTTCTTGGGGCCAGGTATGACACCGAGCGAGAGGATGTTGTCAAGGTGGAACCAAATGTCAGGCAGAAGATTATAATTGAATAAAATGAGCGGCCACGCAGTATTCTTGCGACGTTTGTGGGGAGCAAACCCATCAGTTGACAGACCGAGAGCTATGTCTCTAAGATCTTCAAAATACCTCCTGGCCAACGCCGTTCCATTGATGTGGATCTTGCATGCGCACAAGTTCTGATATCGAGATCCATCAAAGATATCGTTTACTGTTCCTGGGCTGTGTTCATGCTCGCTTCGATAGCGCATCTGCTTAGCCATGTCAGGGTTGCTCGCAAATGCAATGAGGCGGGGAATGAGGGGCATGTACATGAACTGCTTTCGAGGCTTGCCATCTGCACGATAACGCTTCTCTCGGCAGTATGGACATTCCTTGAGCTTGTCGTAGGCTCCCGTATAGCAGCAGCATGAATTTGGGCAACAGTCGTAGAATTCCGGTGTCAGACCAGAGAGGAACACAACTCGTGACCGGACTTTGTGCAAGCTGGGTGTTGGTGGATTGGTGGGAAAGGCATATGGAAGTTTTGCAAAGTCCTTGTCGGTAGTATGACTTGAGACCTTGTAAGCAAAAGCACGGCAAATGACATGGTCAAGTTCTGTCAAACGGTTTGCTAGATATCTGCAGTTAGATCCATTATCAGGCGTTGTACATTTCTCAGATGCTCACCAATGTCATTGACTTGTTTCTCATATCCCGCACCCAGCTGATCCAATGCAGACAACCCTTCGGTAGCCTTTCGCAGACCTTCCCAGTCATAGGCTTGGTAGTCCCACTCCTCGTCCTCGTTATCGGAATCGGAATCATTTTCTTTCCCCGGTGCCTCATCCTCTTCAGTGTCAGAATTATCAACAGAAAATCGCCAAAAGCCGGGTGCAGCACCACAAGGAGAGCCCGCATCTCCATCATCAACATTCATTTCATTGCCCTCATCCAAGAAGACGGGAACATCATCCAGTCCTTCCTGGATCTGCGAGCCAGGGGTGACAGAGCCAGTATCATCAGACAGGTCTTCATCGGAACTCTCGTTGCCACTAGAGTCAACTCCTGGGCTTGAGGGTGTAGTCGGTGGGACTGCCAGATACGGATGGGACATCCGTAGGTGGTGAGCTCGTTCCCGTTTACGAGGTATGCTTTTATGGCAGCAATCACACCAAACAAGGTCCGCTCGAGGCATTGAGATTGAGTAGGAGATACAAGGAGATACAGAAAATAAACGAGTAAATGAGAGGGAGCAAGCCACTGAGAACAAATCTATGCAAACAGTTGGACTTAGGAAATTTGAGCGAGGCCAGTCAACAAAAAAAACTAACCTCCACCAGCGAACAATCATGTCATCCACCCCAAGGCCTGCAGCATGACCCGCCACAGCAGGAACACTGACCAAGACTCCGGGATCCATAGCTGTCCGACGAAGCACAGGGAGTACCAATCCTGTCAATCAGCGTCGCACCCCCATGACTCCACAATCAGAAAACATGCCATCTACAGGTCAGGCTGCACCCCAAGCAGGATGGAAGCAGGCTCCCAAACGTCCTCGCACCTCAGGAGGGACCAACTCAACCCCATTGACAGACACCGGAAACAGGACTGAGGCCAACGCGAACATGGCAGCCATGCAAGCAACTCTGAAAAGACTTGAAGGTGAGCAGGTTCATATTGAATCAAATGAATAAATCATGCTTACTGTAGCGGAGCTGAACTGCTGAAGGAAAAGAAGGCACGTCAAGACCTTCAGCGTGACATGGAGTCGCACCCGGCACAGCAAGAACAGGCCACAGATGAGGACGCACAGGCGCAAGTGGCTAGAATGGAAGGTAAGTGCTTGTATATGCAGCATATGTCTGACACACCTGCATCGTCGACAGAGGAGCTGACTCAAGAACGTCTTGCCAATGCTGAGTTGCAGAAGACGCTGGATGACATGGTCAAATCGGGTGGTACGAGCACAGACGCTGAAGGACCTACAATCCCCAGACCCAAGGGATCAGCTGGGACGCACTTCAGTATCCAGGTCACAATGAAACTCGCCAGCTCAGAGGAAAAAGACCTGAAGTACAAAGCCATTCAGGTGAGATGCGTGGTACCAGTGAAAAAGGAAAGACATTACTGACTCTCTGCTTATCACCCAAGCGCGGAATCCGTTTTCTTGCTCTCAATGCCAACATCAACTGGAAGTTAACCTGGTCCAAAATCCCGGCGCTAGCAAAGGCAAATCTATACAGTGCGGTGAGTGGCCAATTGAACCATGTACAAAAGATACTGAGTTACCTTAAAGGCAAGAGAGAAGCATAAATATCTCAAGCGTTTTGAAAATGACTGGGCGACAGAGGAACTCGCAAAGATGTACTTCAAGAATCTTCGTGGAAATCATTATCGACGAGGATATCTGCAGGTGCCCGATGGATACAGCCACCTCAAGGCAAATTCAGCACAGCGTAACCAATCCGCACCGCGTATCAAGAGAGCAAAGGCTGTGATGCTCAAACGCCAGGAGGCCAGAGCACGAAAGGCTGCAAGTAGAAGGCAACAGACAGCAGAGGAAGAGCCTGGAATGGAGGATAGCGATGATCCCAATCCCATAGGACAAGAGTCAGAGGAAATGCAAGTGGACGGGGAGGACAATAACGAGCCAGATCAAGGTCCCAATGCTGAGGGAGATGAAGACAACGACAGTGGGAGCGAAGAATGAACAGTACGCGCGTGTTTGATTCCGCGGAAGCATTACTAAGCCTTCTCTGACCCCATTGGTCTAGTACCCGTGTAACACCGCCTCACGTACATACCAGTGGTACCTACGCTCAAGAAATAGCTGTTTCGATGGTGTATTCGCATTTTCCCGTTTTCCTGACATCTCGCGCGCTAGAAATGGTACAATTGTATTGCAAATATATCAGATTTTATGCTATAAATGACTGAAAAGGAGACTTCAAGAGCATCAAGTATATCCAGTCATTGGATGCATAACCATGCAAGGATAGGATGAAACCCATCCAACAGCTAGCATGGTAGTCATCCTACCCTTGAGTCGCATGCCAGTAGCTAATAGGATGCTGGATCAACCTCGTCTTGGATGATTCCGAGCCAAATTGCCGATTTGACGGGTTGGAAATGTCTTGGCTGATTTCGGCCATTTTTGGATGGTAATCATCCTGCCGGCACTAGGATGATTGTAAGTCTAGGGTCCACCTGGGCAAGGGTTAGTATCATCCTAGCCCCGGATGAAATCCCTGGTTGATTTTCATCCTGGATGTCCCTCACAGAGCTCACGAACAGCTTGGAATCCGTCTCGGAGAGCTATCAAAAAGAAATAATTCGTGCCAAAGTACGAACATGGGACGTAGTGATTATAGATATACTGCAGGCAGAGAGTTAGGGAGCAAACCGAACCACAGGAGAGTCTTTAACGTGCCTAGGGTTTCAACTTATTCTACGATTTTCCATAGCGTCATTTTTAACTTAAACTCGCTCAGTCCGACAGCCTTGCATCCCGTCGGTTTCATCACGCCTATCGCAGTATCTCCCGGTATCCCTTCTGGACATACAGAAACCAACCTTCTAGCACATTCAACAGGCCTGCTAGCACTGACTGCGCCGTTATCAGAGGTTGATATAGAAGTCTCGAGCCTTAAGCGATGCCTACAAGCATTAGGAAATGAGGTGAAAGATACGGAGACTTCGAGGCAATGCCCGAAGGAGAACACAATCTCGAGCGTGAATGGAACGATGGCAGAATCGATTAGATGGCAATATGATGGGATCATCAATATCATTCCCGTTTTGGAAACAGCACTTGCCGATTCCCGCACGAAGCCTTCCTCGATTCACTTATCATCCGAACTTCGTTTTTACTTATCCAAGCATAAAGGAAGTTCTAATCCACTTCAGGGGTTGTCCTTGTGTATTCATCCGTATACATGCTTGTTATTGCTCAACAAGTTTCACTCCAACTCGATCTTCAAATCATGTAACGGCAAGAAGCCTGTCAGTAATGCCATTTCCGAAGGTGATCAATCTTGTGATCCTTGTGTGAAGGGTGGAGAAGAACTTGCATTCCAGGATTCATGAAGTTATGGCCACAATCAGCAGAACAAGTGAAATCTACAATATTTACTTGTTCTAATTCCTTTCATTCACTTCATATGCGCCTCGTTCCAGCATATGTAGACTGGGGGGGCTTTGTCATGGATTTCATGTCTTTTCCGGTCTGTACATGAGTCAACACATGCTTACTCTCGGCCTTCTCGGCCTTGACCTCGGCTTACTAGTATTTTCTCTCATTTTCTCTTACTTTCTCCTTTCTTCTTGCCAATACTAGAATAATAATGACTCAATTCCTTACTAGTGATATATAAGTAATTGTACTTTCCATTGTATTAGAATCTTAAGCTAATTTTACCTATCTTCGAAGTCCACTTAACTGTGCGATATAAGCATCTCTGATCTGTTACGCCAAGCGCTTGCCAATCAATTGCTTCCCGACTACGCCTAGCACTTTTCGGAAACCCTGTCAGTTACGCCTAGCACTTGCTGACGCCCCGTTAACTATGCCTAGCGCTTGTTAGCACTCTTACGGATCCCTCTTGGTGGTTGGAACTGGGCTTACGGACATCCTCGCTCACGACTTCGGTTTTACTCGAGTACTCAGTAACTCGTGTATTAGCTCAAATTGCCCTAATCCTTAACATTCATGCTTGCGACTCATAAGTAGCTGTTACCGGTCAGTGGTCGGACCTTACGACATTTGATCGCTGCAATCATTTTTATACGTGCGCCTTCATTTTGTTAAAAGATCTGTTCTTAGTGGCGTGAACAATGTCGACGAACAAGTCTTATAACTCCCGCAGCCGTAAAAAATCCAGATCGGAAGAATTCCTGGGATCCAGCACTTATTGTGAGAGTCAGAATGTCGACTAGATCACTGATTCATTGAAGGTTTTTGCAGTAGCAATTGAGAGACGGAATCAAGATGGAATTGGAAATTGACATGTGTACCTCACGTGGGGAATTTGATTGGTGTTATTTCATAATTTCGGTCTTTGCTTCCTTCCCTCACTCGGCGGAGAGGCGCGATTCGCTTCTTCCTCAGATGGTAGCTTCAAGTCAGTGGGAAGATGATCTAACAGATATGAAAACGAACCTAATGTACGTTACATCGGTACGCGTCTGGGGACTTAAAAACTGACTTTATTTCCAGATTACTTACCATGCGCAACGCCTCCGGCTTTTATTTCAGGCCATCCTAGAACACGACCATCCTTCTCCAAGGAGATCAACATCAACCGTATCTCATCACAGGGCATATATCGACGTTCCTTTTGGCTTTCGCTGACCCTTGCAGGCGCATATTCTCGCGATGAAGAATCGTCTGGTTTGTAGGAAGAGAAGAAGGAACAGGGTCGATAGTGATGCGGTTGATGCGCTGTTAGATTGGGCGAGCTTGATAGATGACTGTGAAGAAATGCGACTACGCCAGGTAAGACTTTCTCTCGCTTCCCGGCACGCGTTACTGACAGCGAGAATCCAGACGTGCAAACGTTTCCACATGCTCAGAGGACTCCACAACGATTTCAAACTCGACATCCTCTCCAACGACTAACCATATTCCTGCGATGAAGTCGTTCCTGAGCACCACATGCACCACGCTCCTGCTGGCTCTCCTCTCCCTGAGACCACCCTCACCAGATCCCCCGTATCTGAAACCCTCCAAGGTTCCCGGCTCCTAGCTGTATCTAATGGGAATCTGGTCGGTCCTCATGGTCTGCATTATCGGATGCGAATACCAGTCCTCAGAGTGGGCCCTAGAAACGCGTTGTTCACCAGGGTGAAGCTCAATGCGGAACCTAAATCCGAAGCGAGTATCTTAGATAGGTCAGCGCTAGTTCATCTTAGGAACGACGGCTAATGCATGTAGGTTACAGAGGATCGTGCTCCTGCATCTGGACGACAACAGGAACCCTGCATGAAGACCACACCATCCATACCGACTTTCGCCCAGTCCTAGTCAACCTCCCAGGTAACGTCCTAGCTCTGGATCCGAGCAACAACCCCTCCAAAATGCCGTCCTACAACTGGTTGGCCGGTGAACACGCATACCTCAATAGCATAGGTAAAATGCAGGTGCGATTCCTATGACTATGATAATCACGCTTCTTCATCTCATCGACTCACAGTACGATGTCCGTATCTAAGTCATCCACAACCCAGCCGTCACCCTCGTCGTCCGCGCCTGCTCTATCACTTTCTACAACACCTACCCTCCCTCGTCGGCACCAGGCATGCCCACTCCATCAAATGGAGTCGACAGCACCAGCACGACACCCGCCTCCGTCCTCATCAGCTTCACAAACAACAACCCTGGGCATCTGAACTAACTTTCCTCTCCCTCTGTTTCCTCACCTCCTGACGCGGAGCCCTCCGATGCCTGGACCCCTTCCGTGGTCGCGCGATGGTCCGACACGCCGCTATCTCTGCGGCCATCGCCCAAGTCCTCGTTCTCGTCGAACAATTGGACGGCGTTGGATTATGATGAAGACTGGGCTCGGGGAGATCACACATGCTCTTGTTCTGTTCAGGGATGTTCCACTTGCGCACCTTCGGAATCGGGACAAACCTCACCGGCACCATTCGCCACAACTGGTTTTTTCTCTGGGATCAAGTACGCTTCATGATGGGTCCATAGTCTTCTATCTCATGCACATACATCTCTATATAGGCCGACAGGATCTTCTCGGCATGCGGTGCCAGAAAGAAATGAAGGTACAAAGTAGAACCCTGCACACTATTCCGCTCGTACACGGACCCTCGACGCATTTCTGTGGGAATCCGCCAGACTCTCCTCGCGTGCTACGCCGACCACTACTCGCTTCTCTTGACAAATTCTTGTCATCGTGCACAATGTTGCTCCCTACGCATTGCGCACTAGCGCGTCATCGATTGCGGTGTGTCCCTAGTGTGGAGGTTTTGTCAAATGGGTGAGCACTCGTTACTCCGATAAACAATGGCTGACTTACGTAGGCCACAGAGAATCATGCTCCTGCATTTCGACGACAATGGAACCCCACACAAAATCCACTATAGCGACAACAGTATCTGCCCTCGCCGTCGACATCCTTGGGAGACCGGCACGCGCGAGGCTTAGGCGACGTGCAGGTAAGCATACTCTAGCTCTTCTAATCACGCTTACTCATATCTTGTGCCCACAGTACGAACGCTATATCCAAGTCATCTTCACCGCACACGCCATCCTAGTCCTCTGCATGCGCCTCCATCAACCTCTACACCGTGCTCTTCTCCGCTGACTTCATACAAGTCGTCTTTGCCCCGACTTCATCCACACCCAACGACGCTCTCTCCATCCTCATCTGGTCCGATATGACAACTGAGTCTTTTGCTCCAGCTCTAAATTATCCCCTCGTGCATTATGAATGAACGCGCCAGCCTATACACCCTCCTCCAGCGAGACAGTATCCTGTCGTCCAGCACTCTAATACGCCGATATTGTTCTCAGCACATAGAGAACGGCAGTATGCATCCATTAACACATGGAGGAGCATAACAGCAGCAAAACACCGGTCGCAGTCATATTCCCGGGTCAGCTTATGGCGGCGTGAAGAGCTTGGAAGGGTCTGGGTTTCATATATCATTCGTGGTACATTGGCTAGGTCGCATCCACTATCATGGTTTTATCCC